TGACCTTGAACAAAAGCTCCCTTTAGGCAAGGTCTGAGGTTTCCCAAACCACAGCACACAGTGCTGACCCCACAGGAGTCACCAACAGACACCCTGAGCTCAGCCCTGCATGTGAATCAAGGCTGGGAACTGGCCAGCACCAGTAATAGGAAAGACAGAGAGAGGAAAGGCTAGGGTACGAGATGTTCCCTTCCTGGCACAAAGACACAAACACACACAGAGACACACAGACACACACATACAGACAGACACTCAGATACACATACAAAGACACAGACATATGCACAGACACACACACACATACTGACACACACACATACAGACAGATGCAGACACACACAGATACACACAGACACACAGACACACGCACACACACTTCCTGGCCTTTTTTCTTACTTTCTGTTATATTAGAATATTGCCTAGAGTGCCTGTTGAACTCTTGGTCTCCAGCAGGTGGTACTGTTCTGGGAGGTTCTGGAAACTTCAGGAAGCAGGGCCTACTTGAAGGAAATAGGTGGCTGGAGGTGTGCCTTGAAGGTTACACCTGGTCCTTGATTCCTTCTCTGCCTCCTGTCCCTACCCCTATGATATGGGACAAGCATTGATGGAGTGGACCCTCTGACGCTGTTAGTGAAAACACACGTCCCTCTTCAAGTATTTCGGTCACAGCAACAAGAAAGCTAACTGAAAACATTCTGTCAGTTGTCACAGCCGCAGAGAAGGCAGAGACAGACCAAGAATGGCCCGAACTACACATGATCCATTTTCCCATTTTTGTGTATTTTTCAAGGTTTGTATGTGTGTGTGTGTGTGTGTGTGTGTGTGTGTGTGTGTGTGAATATGCATATCATATGCATGTGGGATCCAGAGGAGTGTATCAGTTAGCCTGGAGCTGGCATTACAGGTGATTGTGAGCCATCCCGTGTGGGTGCTGGAAATGGAACTCCAGTCCTCTGCAAGAGCATCAGGTGCTCTAGCTGCTGAACCATCCAGCCCCTGTTTTGTATATTTTGTGTTGTTTTTCTATAGATTAGGATGGGCATCAGGACCCAGAACTAGGTTTGTTTGTGTGTGTGTGTGTGTGTGTGTGTGTGTGTGCATCCGGTAACCAAGAGTCCTCCAATGTGATAAGCCCAACTTGAGCATCCGTAGCGGGCAAGGTGTCCCAAACTAGGGCATCTGGACCCAGGCTTGTGTCTTCTGCTTGTCTGAGTTAGATCACAGGTGGGAAGCATCTCACCTATCATCTCACCATTGGCAGTGAGCAGTGCTCTTGCGGAGGACCCAGGTTCAGTTCCCAGCACCCACATCAGGTGCCTCCCAACCACCCGTGACTGCAGCTCCAGGGGCACCAGCGCCCTTTGGCTTCCATGGACACCTGCGTGCAAGTGGGGCACCTGAGCCCGCACAGGCACACACACATGTGCATACTTTCACATAAGTAACTCTTTAATAAGTTACACATGCCAGGAAAGCACTAAGCAAAATGAAGTTGTTAGGTTTTCAGTGTGTTGGTGGGATTTTCCTGGCCTCCCGCATGCTAGGCAGGTCCCCACTGCTGAGCTAGCCCCAGCCCGAGCTTTAGTAGTTCTCTTGACACACAGACAAATCCACACAAAAGTAGAGCGTCAAAAGCCAGTCGCTTTTGGCCCTGTGGCAACCGTCAGGCTAGCTCACCGATCTGAGGAGGTGGCTCCTGGCTCTTATTAAACGGTGGCTTCCTGAGTTTCTGTGCTGGAACGGCTAATGACTGAGTTAATGATTGAGTGGACTGAGTCTCCTCTCTGGGCCGCACACCCTTTCTCCCATCATTCCATTCACCCTTCCGCACACGGCTGCGAGGTCCCGGTTTTGCAGATGAGCAGTGTGAAGGCCAGCTGCCGGGAAGTCCTGCTGGCCAAGTTAATGAATGACAGAGTTGGATTCTGGGTATTAATTAGCTTCTCTCACCCGAGGAAACACCTGTGAAGTCAACTTCAAAGGGGAGCAGGCCTCTGTGGGCGCTCGCTGCAGACGCTCCAGTGTGTGGCTGCCTGGCTCCGTTACTGCGGGCCCGCCCACGGGGAGGCTCAGCATCATGGCAGCCGTGGGTGGGGGCGGAGCCTGCGCACCTCGTAACAGAAAGTAATGGAGAGAGAGAGACAGAGACAGAGACAGAGACAGAGACAGAGACAGAGACAGAGAGAGAGGCTCACAGTGACCAACTTGCCAGCTCCTTCCGACTAGTCCCCACTCCCATAGTCCACACAGATGTGACACTATCGATAGCCTAATCCACGGATGAGGTCGAACTCCATGCTCTCATCACCTCTGACCTCTGACTCATTGAGGACCAAGACGTTGTGAACTGACCTTCCCCGAAAAGAAAGAACATACTTGTGCTGAAGACTGACTGATTAGGGCTTCTCGCCTGTGGAGAGTTGGAATGGTGCGGATCCAGAGCCAAGCTATTTCAAGCTAGCCACCTTAACGGCCATTCTCCGTGTACCTCTGCATCTGACCTCACATCTGAACCATCCTTGTGGTTCAGAAGTCAGTCTTTTTGGAATGTGTTAAAGGACTAATAGCTCCCCCAAGCCCGAAGCTGAGAATGTCATCAGAGAGCAGAGACGTCTGTGCTCTGACCACCTGCAAGGACTCACCGACGTATGTGCAAATGATTATGAGGTCCTTTGTCCTGGTACTGTGAAAACCTCATGAAACCGTACCGCGCTGGAACACGGAAATGGGGAGCCCAAATCTGTGTGCCTGGGTCATGCTCACTCTTATTTGATTCCAGGATAAACTCTTATTCCCTTTGAGTTAGGAGCTGCGGAGGTTTTGTCGTTTGTATGTGTGTTGGGGGCTGTGTGTTCATATGTGTGCGGAGGCCAGAAGGTGACGTCTGCGTTACCCTCAATCACTCACCTACCTTGCTTATTTTTTTAAAAATGATTTATTTATTTTGTTTTATGTGTCTGAGTGTTTTGCCTGCCATGTATGTATGTACAATGCTTTTGTGCCTGGTTCCGTGGTGGTCAGAAGAGGGCGTCAGATCCCTTGGAATTGGAGTTACAGATGTGAGCAGCCATGTGGGTGCTGGGAACTGAACCCATGTCCTCTGCAAGAGCAGCAAATGCTCTTAACTGCTGAGACAAATCTCCAGCCCGACCTTATTATTTTAATTAATTAATCTTTTTTTTTTTTTAAAGACAGGCTTTCATTATGTAGACCAGGCTGGCCTTGAACTCACAGAGATCCACCCGCTTCTGCCTCCCGAGTGCTGGGACCAGAGGTGTACACCATCATTCAGCTTTCTTCTCCTTCTTCTTCTTTTTCAGCTAGCGTCCTTTATCGAATCTTCTGCTAGGCTGGCTTGCAAGCCTCAGCCATGCTCCTGCCTCTGCATCCCAGCACTGTGGTTACAGAAGTGTGCTGCCACTCTTGACTCTTCTGTGGGTGCCACGGATCCGAACTCAGGTCCTCATGCTTTCACAGTTTACTAAACGAGCCATCTCCTCAGCCCCGAGAGCTGTGTTTTTGTATCAGCATCTTAGATATATGAGTCAGGGGGACATTTCACAGCTAAACTGTGACAGTCTGCCTCCAGGGACAGACAACTAACCACTGCACTCTACAGAGTGATCTGGCTCTCAGGGCCGGAAGCTGGGCTAGAGTCCATGGCCATCAGGCATCAGGTCACTGGCCACAGCGTGGCGCAAGGCCCTACATATAACAGTGGTTTCTCATCTGGCTGCAGATTAGAATCAGAAGAACTTTCTAGAACTCTGTAAACGCTCTTTTTCATTCCACCCAAAGGCAAGGGTGGGATTGGGGGGGCGGGGCAGTGACATTTTGATTTTCTATTTTCAAAGTGTGACAATCTGTTCACTTACTGGCTCATTTAATCCATCAAAGGTATGTGAGTACCTACTCTGTCTCCTGCGGTTCCCTGTTGTGTGGAACCTCCCTGGATGGAGGGAGGGGGATCGGGGTTCCTCTGCTGTGTGTGGGTGAGCTCTGGACAGAGCCAGTGTGTTCCCCTCTCAAGTGTTGCTGCTGCATGGCGCCTTTCCTCTGGGAGATGTTTGCCTCCTTCCTGACAGACCTCATTCTGCTTCAGATTCCAAACTGAGCCCACAGAACCCCTGACCTGAGAAGTGGTCCAAGTCCAGAGCCCTTGATCTTCAGTGGGTGGAAATGGTGTGTGTGTGTGTGTGTGTGTGTGTGTGTGTGTGTGTGTGTGAGAGAGAG